ATTCAAACCCGCCACCTTAGGTGTATGTGGCTGGTGCCTTAGCAGCTTGAGCCACAGGCACCGAGCCTATGAAGAGTAATCTCTTAAAGATTACTATATAATAAGTAACTATACGCCCCTATAAAGGATAACTTTATAACTTCTTTGTAGAGGCATATGAGTTACTTTCTTTAAAAAATCCCAAAAATAGAAGCAATATATGCTCATCAGAATTGAAATAATCTGATTGCACATCAGCGAAAACAAAAGGGAATTCCAAGAGCTCATCCTTTCAAAGAAACAGTGAATAAACAGGGAAGAATTGTCAGAATCGACATTATCTAAACTCTGAAAACCCATCAAAATTTACAACAATCAGGCAAACACTTAAGACAAAGATTTTCACTAAGGATCTTGAAGATACCAACCTAAGTTCTTGGTGTGGGTTCCTGACGCCAGAGGGAGCACAGTTGACCTTGTTTTCCAAGAATTGTGGTTGTTTTGACCTGTCTGTTGGCCCCTTGAGACACTGTAAAGGGCTTGCCCTTATTTTGCCAAACTCAGAACTATAACAGGGCAGAGAGGGTATTTGTTGAAAACATTTAAAGGCAAATGTATTAGCTGGTAGTGAATGAGTCAAGGAATTGCAACTGGGACAACCAATGAATACATCAAAAAGCCTGGGAGAAAAGACTGGGGAGTGAAGAGCTTTGTGGGAATAAGGGCTTGAAGAGCTGCCACGTTGTTCTTGGACACTAGAAGGCTACAGAGCACATGCTCAGAAAGATCTGAGAAGGCCCTAAAGTCTCACCTCTGGCTACTTCAGGCTTTGCACAAGAAGAAACTGAAGGCTATGAAAGAGCTGTAAATTGCCCAGAAGAAAGCATGCCCTGACCTATACACACAATACACTGGGAGATACACTCGCGCACATCACGACAACATTTCCATCATGATGGACCACACATACTGAAGCTGAAAAATCCGTATCATCTAGTGACACCCCAGCCATTCTAATATCATAGTGCAATACATTACTCACATGTTTGTGATGATGCTGGCATAAACAAACCTACTGTGATGCCAGCTGTATAATGTAGATTCAGTTATGCACATTATATAATACTAAGTACTTGATAATAGATGTATAGGTTATTGGGTTACATATTTACCATACTATACTTTTTCTTATTACTTTAAAGCAGTGGTTCTCAACCTTCCTAATGCCTCTTTTTTTTTTTTTTTTTGAGACAGAGCCTCAAGCTGTGCCCCTGGGTAGAGTGCTACAGCTCACAGCAACCTCCAACTCCTGGGCTCAAGCGAGTCTCCTGCCTCCGCCTCCCAAGTAGCTGGGACCACAGGCGCCCGCCACAACGCCCGGCTATTTTTTGGTTGCAGCCATCATTGTTGTTTGGTGGGTCCGGGCTGGGGATTCGAACCCGCCACCTTAGGTGTACGTGGCTGGCGCCT